TTTTGTATTTTTTTTTTTTTTTTTTTTTTTTTTTTGTTGCAAACGCTAGTAGAGTCTGCATAACAGTTTAGCAGTTGTAGTAGCCCTATATCGGGTCATAATTTGTGCATACCGAGCGTTACTTATTTGCGGTGGCCCTTTTAACTTGTGTATATTGGGAGAAGTCTGTCGTCAAATTGTCCCTCTGTGGTTCTCCTTTAGCGCGGGAAGAAGCCTCTGTAGGGTTCAGCTTTTCCAAAGGAGACACGGTTGTAAGCGCACGAAGAGTGTAGCTGAGTAACGGCATCACTGCATAACCGCGTAAGAGGTTGACCGCTTCCCCTCCCCCCACGAATGCAACAAGATGGACGTGACAAGTTTCAAACGTAAGGTGTACAATTTTTTGGAAAACGAAAATGAGTACGCCTTCAAGGATGACGACGATAAGACGGATGAAATACAATATTTCGAAGAAGTAAAAGGGACAGCAAAAAAAAACTCCAGCAATATCATCAGGCCAAAGAAATATGATTTGTGCCAGAGCTTTGAAAAAACGAAAGGATTTCTGGGTATAGAAATGTCAAGCAAATATGATGTGTTTTGTTTTGCTTGTAAATATTATTATAATAATAATTTTTTAGGAGAAAGGAAAAAGGAAGTAAGGGGAAATCAAACAATTCTTGGAGAATATTCATTCAAAACGTATGGTGAAATAAAAAATGAAATAGAAATTTTAGCATCTGCATTGTACCAGTTTGAACATATAGAACCCAATTTCTTCGAAGATAATGGAGAATATGAAAGTTTTAAAATTTTAGGTATTTGGTCTAAAAATAGGATAGAATGGTTAACTACAGACTATGCTTGCTCAGCCATTGACTTTGTCACCGTACCTATATACGACACTATTGGCATAAACTCTGTGAAATACATATTTCAGAAGACGCAGATGAAAATTTGTTGCATCGAAGCGGAGAAGTTGGAGACCCTCATCAAATTGAAGGATGAACTAATCGACCTACAAATTTTAATCATATACGATGAATGGAGTTTAAAGGACAATATTAAGCAGAAAGCCAGTAAGGCAGGCTACAAGGTGTATTTTTATAAAGACCTAATTGATAAATATAAGAACCAGAATATTATCCCCCAGTATGATTTCTATGACTATGATTTTCATAATAAGGAGAAAGGTCAAAAGGATGTCAACAAAAGACAGGACTCGAAAAGCGGTGCAGGAGGTGAGAAGAATAATAATAGTGCAAATAGTGGAAGTAGGTGCAACGCGCTAATGCAGAAATTGAAGAGGAATAAGGGCAAAGTGACTGATGTGTGCACCATTATTTTTACCTCCGGATCATCTGGAATGCCCAAAGGCGCTATGTTGACACACAACACGTTCATTACCTTTTTACAAAGCTACATCATCGACGGAAACAAACTAGGCCTGATCAAACATGACGTAGTGCTTAGCTACCTACCTCTAGCTCACGTCTACGAACGGCTAATCGAATTCGCTGTGTGTTTTTTTGGAGCCCAAATAGGTTACTTCTCTGGAAACATAAAAGAGTTAGTAAGTGATATAAACGAGTTAAAACCAACCTTCTTAATCACAGTGCCAAGAATTCTACAAAAGATTCATGATAATGTTATGGAAGGGTTGAAGAACAAATCCTTTATATCCAGAAGCTTAGTAAAGACAGCCCTCAAAAATAAAAAAAACATATATTTGAAAAATCCAAAAAAGTTTAGCCACCCAATTTATGACATCATTTTACAACCAGTGAGGAACCGATTCGGAGGCCGCATAAGGACACAAGTTATGGGTTCTGCATCTATGGATAAAAATAAATTAATCGATTTGCAAATGCTCTTTTCAGCACCTATTGCGGAAGGATGGGGAATGACAGAAGTAGGCGTAGGATTTTTACAACACAGATATGATAGCACCAAAGGAACCATCGGAGGAATGTTCTCCAATATTTCCATGAAAGTCGTTAAGGTAGAAAATATGAAGTATGACCCAAAGGCTTACCCAAACAGAGGAGAATTATGTGTCAAAGGAAGTAGTCTAATGGTAGGCTACTTTAGAGATGAACAATTAACACAAAAGTCTTTTGATGAAGATGGATATTTCTACACAGGAGATGTTGTAGAAGTTAATGAAAATAATGCATATGTTCGAATCATAGACAGAGCAAAAAATATATTCAAATTAGCTCAAGGAGAATATGTAGAGCCAGAAAAATTGGAAAATATTTACACCAATAGCATATACATAGAAAATATTTTTGTCCATGGGTATAATTATGAAAATGAATTAGTAGCCATTATAGTACCTAACGAAATTTTCGTTCGCGATTATGCAAAAAAAAATAACCTGAATATGTCCTTCGAGGAGCTACTAAAATGTGATGCTATTAAAAAGCTTGTCCATAATGAAATATTGACCATGTCAAAAACGTATAATTTGAATGGCATTGAGAAAATTCACTTATTCCATTTGACGCCTATTCCTTTTTCGGTGGAAAATAAACAACTCACCCCTACTCATAAAGTGGTTAGGAACACCATTTTCGCTGATTATAAAAAGATCATTGATGATTTGTACAAGTCGAGGAAGAAGTAAAAGCTCGTTTTTTTTTTTTTTTTTACACACGGTCAACCTTTGTGCCGTTATGGTGTGCACTATGCGCCTTTATCGCTACGTTAAGTGTGCCACGTTCCATTTTGTGGACCGGTGGTTAACCTATTTGATGTGCGGTGAAAAAAAAAAAAAAAAGCACAATTTTCCCCCTTTTGTGTGTGCCTGGAAGGGTTGAATCTAGCTTTCCCCCTATCGCTGTGCGCATTTTAATGAACAAAAATGAGCTCTTAGGTGGACTGGACGTCCGCCCAGGGGGGGAGAAAGAACAACCAAACGGACACCTTCTCGGTGGGTTAGGCTGTAGTTGAGAACCCCCACCCCGAAGTGTGCCACACTCGAGTGATGTTAATGCAATTCTTTTTTTTTTTTTTTTTTTTTAAATATGCAATGATGTATTTAAGACAATTCAATTTTGTAACAAACTAAAATACCTTGTAGAGAAACTTTTTTACTTCCCCACTTGTGTATTCGTGTGTATGTGTGTGTAGCATATGCTGAATGCCCACATATATGTATGCATACACGTACGTACGCATGTATATAATGCAGACCCACGTATAAGCGCGTTTGTTTGCACACCTCCCAAGCAGCTGCTCCTCGTCCTCTGCATTTATTTGTTAAATGCCCAATGCAGATGAAGAATACACATTGGCATGCATTGTCGTTGTGAAACTGATTATCATCATATGTTCTACTAGTATGCCTGTAGAGGCATATGTACAGCATTAAATTACACTGAGTAAAAACTTTCTTGTATGGTAACCCCCATCCTGTGCTACACACATAGTACATACATATGTGTGTGTGCGCACCTCAAACAGAAATTGATGCGGCGTAATCTCTGCCACGGTATTCATACGAACCGCGTGCATCACACCAATTGTCATGTCGTGCTTGTTGCCTCGCAGCTGCCTGCATTTTAGCCCAACGCTTAACGATTTGCTCCTACCCCTCATCCAAATAATAACCCCCTTCGCAGCCCTGTCCCTCATGATCACTTAGAATAGGTTTACTAACCTGTGAAACAGCTTCACAACAAAGTATAATTTTCAGACAATGCGCCGAATGCTTATGCGAAAATCATATTCCTCCTGCCCCTGCAATGGGGTCCTCTTCCTACATTGCAAATTTAGACCTACTCGTAAAAATTTAAGCAAAAGTGATTTTAAAAGGGTGATATATGCCTTTACAAGGGCATCATTTATGGGGAAACAAAAAGAAAAAAAAAAAAAGAAACAAATGTGAAGGTACACAACGTCAAGTTCGAATTAGATGTTTGGGCGGGGGGTTTCCTCATCCCTATTTTTAATTAAAGCGATATTCAATAGGAAAACGGAAAAAAGGAGTGGGGGAAATTTACACAGATTGACAGCATGCATAGTAGGGCATACACTGTGGCATATAAAAACGGGTGTAATGATACACAAAATACGAATAAGACGCAAATTAATTCTTCACAAAATGTAGGAAAAAAAAAGCATGGGGGGGGAACACACTTTCTTCATCTTTTTCTTTTTTCCCTTTTGCGTTATTTTTTCCTTCAAATTTTTTATTGTGCTTTTGTCCCCCCCTTTTTTTTTTTTTTCCAAGTATTCCACCCAAATAGGAGCGGAAGGGGGAGGAAGAGCATTTGCAACAAACGCCCACATTCCAAATTTGACAAATCGCATAATATAAACTGCGTAGATCATTTTAATTATACACATAAAGCAGATAACGAAAACAAGCGTAGAGGCAGAAATAAACCTGAAAAAACAAAACAAAAAAATAACAAAAAAAAAAAAAAAAATCAAGCAAGCAACATGGGGACAACGCGATCGGCGAAATAAAAAAAACGATAGCATCGCGGGCTGCGCGGGCTTCATTCTCCAGTTCTAAAATGCCCATATTGCACACACGCACACAAGTGTGATAACGCGACGAATTTTTTTTGTGTGCGTGTGTATCGCGAGCTTAGAGATTTTTTCTTCTTCCTCCGTTAGACAAGTGAAGCGGCAACGTTTCACAGACAGGCAAGCTTCGTCTTGCTTGGCGAGCGCACTCTCCGGTCGGAGCAAATCCAAACATACAAACATGCAAACAGACATGCACATATATATATGCGCAGGGTACATATACTTCGCAACCAAATTTGACAAATAAATATACAAGCTTTTAAAAACAAAGGAGGACGCGCTCCACGCCACATGGTGAACTAGACTCTAATTTGGACACACTTGGATTGCTTCAGCCCAGTTGCCATCAATGGGCTTAACGAACATGTGGAACTCGCACCACGTGGGGGGGAGACACAATTCGGCTTCTGTCCATTTTAATGTACTCGTGCTGATATATATGACGTGAAACGTGCAAAGAAAAAAATATATCATTTCTTTTGCATCTGTAAGTGTGAAGCGAAGGGAGAGGGGGGAAAAAACAAAAATAGGAAATGAATAAATATATATACACATAATGTATGTGCCGCTATCACATTGTGTAAATGCGCGAGTACGAGGGGCTCGCCGCTTGTCTCTCTCTTTTTTTCGTGTTCTCTATTTTGCTTTCCCTTCTCTCACCTTGGCTGCAATTTCTGCGCCCGAAGAAACCTCATCGCTGTTGCGAAAAGGGACAGACAAACAACACACAGAAGGAGAACTGAACGGCGGACGAAACAAACGCTGAGGAAATGAAAACGCAAATAAAAACGGACAGGAAAAAGACAAATGGGTGGACACACACACGTGCAATACGCGCACGATGCGTATGCGTAAAAAGGAACGCGAAGATAAGCTCTCACTATAACCAATCTCATATACACACGCGGGAAGGACACGCGACTGCCTCGCTGCGAGCCGCTACACACCGTTGTGCGCTCAAATAAACTCGTTGCTGTTCTTCTTAAAGTGGTTGTACGATATCAGGGAGGAAGAACGATTTTGCGCGGGGCACCCTCCGTGCAGAACCACCGTTTCATACTCATTCGTGTTGCTCATATACGCGTCGTAGTCCTTCCTGTTCAGCGTAATCGAGTCAATGCTGCTCTTGTCCTTGATCAAGTTTTCAGAATATTTATCATCAATTTTGAGCATGGTATCGAAATAATTTTTATAATCATTGAAATTATTTTTGCTGTTTTTTCTAGCCTCGGTCTCTCCTTTGCTCTTCTCGCCATTTTCAACAATGTTATACTGTTTACATTTCTTACGTATTTCTTGTTCTGTTAATTTTTGAATAAGATTTTCTTTATTCTTCAGTTCGTTTATATTAGCATTCATATGCATGTCCGTAAGTTTTGGGAGAAACCAGGGGTGTCCTAACGCTTGGATGGCTGTACATCTATCGTCTGGATTCTTACTGCACATCCAGAGAATAATTTCTTTCACATTTTCAGACTTGGTTAACCAATGCTTTGTGTTAAAGCTAATATGACATCTCATGTTTTTCTTAAAAATTTCCTTCACGTTATTACCTCTGAAGGGGGGATACCCACACAGTATGTTGAAGAGAATAACCCCTAAGCTGAAGATGTCCACTTTTGTGCCATACGAGGCGTATTTTAAAATTTCAGGTGCAACGTATCCTGGGGAACCACATCGCATATTCATAGAGGGGCTATTTAAAAAAGAGGCTAATCCAAAATCGATTATTTTTAATGAACTAGGGTCATTAACATTTTCCAGCATTAAGTTTTCCATTTTTAAGTCCCTATGTACTACTCCGTTAGAGTGTAAGGCTTCCAAGGCTATTAAAATTCGTTTAATAGCTTTTCTGGCCACCTGTTCTGTGTATGGGCCATTGTTATTAAGGTATTCAAAGAGTTCCCCTCCTTTTAAATATTCCAATACTAGGTAGACGAACCCTTCTTGTTCGTATGCCGATATTAACTTTATTATATATTTATGCATGACCTTTCGGAGCACCTCAATTTCGGTGTACACATTTGATTCTTTCACTTTGGACTTGTCCACTTCTTTCACCACTACTCTATTTCCATACAGAATGTTGGTACCAATATATGCTGTGGAAAAACTTCCCTTTCCTATTTTTTTATTCAAGACATATACATTTTTAAAACCCAAGATGGGGAAGCCAAGCATGTTAAAGAATTGACTCATTTCACTAAACTCCTCCTTACTTCGGCACTGAAATTGGTATTCCTCATTTGCCGTGATTATATGAATACATGGTCCTATCTCAGTTATGTTGTTGATTATTCTGCACCCTTTCAATGGCACTGTAAATTCCGGGTTCTCCTGATACATATACGTCCAGCATAGCAAATATGGGTTCTTCTTTTCATCATACGTTAGGGACACATGAGAAGCTGCACCAGTCGCAAGAGGGAAGTCTATCCGTTTTCCTTTAAATAGCTGATGATATCTCTTTTCCATGTTGTGTAATGTACTCGACACTTTTTTTTTTTTTTTTTTTTTTTTTTTTCTACAATTTCGGCCAATCTTCAGTAGGAGTAAATATATTGGCAATTTTTTTTTTTTTTTTTTTTTTCTACAATTTCGGCCAATCTTCAGTAGGAGTAAATATATTGGCAATTTTTTTTTTTTTTGTTTTTTTTCGCACTATGGTTTGCCATATAATGATAATGCTTGATTAACCTGAATTGTTACGAAACAAAATTGTTAAAAAAAGAAAAAAAAAACAGATAGTGGGTGTGGCTATCTTGAAAGGAGTGTCAGATAAGACACTGTGATGATAATAAAGTAAGTGATCCTATCACGATGTGTACATATGGGTGCACGAGGTGATGCAGATATGCACAAACGTAGTTGGGTAAATATTTAAGCACAAACAGGTAACCAAACAACAGGTAGGTACATTTTCCATCCATGCGTTAATAGATGCAGTGTAATATAGCAAAGGAAGTTGCAAAGGACAACTGGTAAGGCTGGCAAGGATAAGGCGACGATCGACATGAAAGGAGAAAATGGGGGGGCTACTACACATCAACATGGAGAGCGCGCTAACGCGAAAGCGCTATCATGCACTGCAACACGACGCACAAGTCTACATTTCTCAAACTAATTCAGTCATGTAATTCTGATATCTGGATATAGTTTACACACAACAATTTAACACACACTGAAGATATTATTCATGATACTTCGTTTTATTTCTGTTTACTTTTATTACTTACTCCAAACTGTTTGCAGTGGCTTTGAGAGTATGTTTTTTTTCTCCAAAACGATGTGGGGGTTCTTTTTGAAGGGCGCACAACTATGGTACGTGTCGGTAGATACTTATGCATAAATAGGCTTATAAGGGGATGTTAGCGCATATATATATGTGGCCTCATACAGGTGTGTGTACATATCGAGGCAAACGCGTTGAAAAGTGTTTACACGAAGTGTTATTGACAAGTCACACTGTGGGGTTACACTTGCGTGGTCAACGCAAGGACTTCGTAAGGTAACACACTTTATAGAGCAAAATTTTACATGCAGGAGCGCAATCAGAATAGTTTGTTAAAAATAAAAAAGGGGGAAATTTCACACACCTGGTTGGTTTGAACCATTTTTATTAAGTGTAAAAAATCTAACCTTTGCAGGTAA